CTGATAACATATTTGTGAGATCTGTATGCTAAAATCTAAGAACACTGATAAAAGAAATCAAAGACCTCTATGAATGGAGCAATATGCTGCACTCATGGACTGGAGGGCAAATATTAAGATGTCCTCTCTTCCTGAAGTGGTCTATGGATTCAATGCAAATCATTAGCAAAATCCAAGTAGGTGGTTTTGTTCTTGTCAACAGGCTGATTCTAAATTGTATATGGCAAGGCAAAGGATCTAAAATTAGCAAAAGTTTTCAAAAAGAACATAGCTGCATTATTTATGCAGCGCTACTGTGATCATGCAATGTAGTATGAGTGAAAGTTCAGACATATAAACTTAACAGAACAGTTAATAGACTAATGGTGTGTCTACCGATTTTCAACAAAGGTGCAAAGAAAAATGAACCTTAATCTATATATGGTACATATGATTTTTATATGTAACATGTAAAACCCAACTCAAACGGATCACATTCACATCACCAAATGTAAAAACTTAAAACTATTAAGTTTCTAAAATATTTTAAAACTTTGTCACCTTGTTAGGCACATTTCTTAGATATGACACCAAAAGCATAACTCATTAAAGAAATAGTTGAAAAAGTGAACTTTTGTGAAAGTTAAGAACTTCTGCTCTTCAAAAAGCTCTGTGAAAAGAAAGACAAGCAAGCCTCATTCTGGGAAGAAATATTTATAAAGCACACGGGTGATAGTCTTGTAGCCAGATTATAGGAGATAATATCTGACTAGAAATATGTAAACACAATTTGGCTTATCATTTTTACCTTTTCTGATTGACAAAAATAAAACATGAGATTTTTATCCTTAGGGGTATATTTGTGACAAAACTTCCATTTTTGGAATGGAAATTTGACAGTATGTACCAAATCATAAATATACCCATATCCTTTAATAATTTCTAGGAATGTATCCTAAAAATCTTACACACCAAGGCTGGTGTGTATGTTCACTATTCCAATACTTCCACTTGCAAAAAAAGAAAATAAAAATCTCTCTTGATAACAGGACTAGTTAAGTAATGCATCAGCCACAAATTGAGGCTATTTGGAGGGGAAATCTGGCTTCAAGTACGCCCAGAAGAGAGCCAACAAAAGTACATACAAATATGAATGGGAATTTTCTCTGCATGATTAAATTACGTCTGGGGTATTTTTTCTTTTTTGTTCTTTCTGAAGAACATGTATTCAGAAGAAAAAACTTTTTTTAAAAGCAATTTAGACATTCCAGAGTTAAGAGCAACATGAAATCCCTGTCTCCTTTACGGTACATAAGGATCTGATTTTGCAAGGGGAAGGGGGCAGGCTGAGTAATCTCTGACTGAAAGAAAAGGCAGCTCGTAATTCTCTCAGTGTCATTTTTGCTACTTCTCCAGTAAGACAGACCATGGATAGATAGCAGAGCTGACATCTGGGTCGCCCTTCAGTCATTCACTCCAGGGTTGTGTTGAATAGTGGTTTTGTTTGGGCATAAATACACTTTGGACTTTCCCTTTGTTTGGTTCCCAGTGTAGCTCTTAGTAATGAAGCTCTTTTGGTATCTTACTTATGCATTTTCAAAAATACCTCCTAAATGTTGGTCAAGGCTTAACTGGTGCCCCCTAGTGGGAAAGTCCTCAAGTAACTGGCTGCTATTCACATATTTTTGTTTGCCGAATTCTTCTTTTGGAGAAAACTCAAATTTTGTAGTGTCTTCTTTTCTATAGGTACTGTGCTAAGGTGGCCTTTTCATATGTATTATTAACTTTAGGCATGCAATTCTTACATAGTAGGTCACACAGTTTAAAACTATTATGCAATAATTGTCAGGCAGACAAAACTCAATTTATTATTACACTTTAACACTTGAGAATCCCAAGATGTTGTAAATTCTCTGAACTTCTGATTAAGACTAATATGCATATGACCTTATATGCATAGCTGTAAGATTAAGCAGAATCAGTTTCCAAGGCTTTTTGGAGAGGAGGGGTGTGTAAAAAAACCTTTTTAAACCATGGTCTCTCTCTCTCACAAACACACAGCTTTAATTATAAACCATCTGAACATATAAGTACCTGAAATAGTAGTGCTCTTATATACTACAGTAAATGGACTTCATTCTTGATTGCCCAGCACTACCTTTCTTTTCTGAAGGTTGGGGCTTGGTTTTGTTCTTCTGCAAGTACACACTACTATCTCCATTTGAATTTCTATGTGGCAGAGAGAAAGATGCTGAAGCAGTGTCCCCCAGGCAAGGTGATGGCTTAAATTTCACTAAAAATACTTTTATCAGTAACTGTTTAGTTTTCACAAATAATTTTCCAAGAATAAACACATTACTTGTATAAATACTGTTTAAAAAGGTAAGAACCTCAATTTTATTGTTTTCTTTAGGAATGTCTATGACCAGAATAATTCTTACACTTGAGGTTTTTAAAAAATCCTCACTTAATCTGAAAGGAAAAAGTGTGAATGCACTTTTCTATTCGAAAAGTCTAAGGGTTTCACAGAAGAAAGCTTAATATCCAATAGTTACATAAACATGTTTATATAGATACAGAGATTTAGATAATAACTATTGCCCAGCCACTAAAGATCGAGATTAAAAGCATGAAAGTTCTATTATTTTTCAAAAAGGTTAAGACAGAGGGACAGAATATGTATGTTTGTAGGTGTCAAAAGAATGGGAGAATATAAGCAACTTGACAAGACTACGTTTACTCTGTAATTTTTATTAATAAAAAGATTAACCATGACCATGAGTGGCTGGGCTTATAGTTTGCTACATCAAAGAAATTAAAAATTGATTAAGAATATTTTTACAGTAATTTATAATAGCATTCCTTTTATAGAGGCATTTTTTAATTTTTAAGCAATTTTGGTTTTTTTGTAAATATATGAAACTAACCCTTAGTGTCATGGAGGAGAATCATCATAGCTACCGCTAAATGAAAGAATTTCCGAGAGTTGTCTGACGATGTTTATCTCAACACCTACACCCAAACTTTAGGGAAACAATCTCCCAAAAATATCTGGAAAACTGCCTGATCAGTAATCAGTGTCTGCTTGTAGCCAGGGAATAGCCCACTTCCAAGTCAAGCATGAAGAATAACACAAAATACAAATGCACCCAAGATCCCCAAGTAAATTAGGAAAAGTGCCATTATTTTAAGACATAATCAAAGTGTTTAAATACAAATTCAGATTTGTTAAGTCCAAAAGATACAGTATTTTTATTACATATAATTTCTCCTGTGTGCTAAAAATGTTAACTTACAGGACACAGTATTTGTATATGTGTAGAGGGGATTACGGTGGAGTCGTTCAATCATTTTTCATTGATGAGAACAGAACAACAAGGTGGTGGACAGATAAGCAGTTGGGTCCTCTAAAATTCAAGGCAGTGTTACTACTGCTCAACCAAAACACACTACCATTCTGTTAATATGAATGCCTACTCATTTATCTTTAAAAAATAAAGTCCATCTTTTTTTCCATTAAAGCTTCTGTAAGATTGACACAAAGGTTCCTTCTACCTGTTAAAATAGGGGTAGTCTTCATCTTTGGACAAGGTATCACCATTTAGGGAAATGTAATCATACACATTACTAAATTTTTATTTGAGGCAGCTGTTGGAGTCCATTAAGCACTTTTGGAACACTGTACCTTTAAAGTTTGTCTTTAATATTAATTGCTTTGGAAAGCCAAAAATAGAAGAAAGACATCTATGGCAAAGTACATTTCATTCAGATTTGACAGCAGTAAAATACACCCCCCCCAAAATATTAGTGCAGTGTCAATTTTGTCTATGTAAATCACTTGAGGATAGTTTTGTTATGGTATGACTGAATAACCAAAAAAGTTTTAACTTGTTTAAAAAGTTTGTCTTTGACTTAGTCTTCAGTAATGCAAAAATGAAATTAAGCACTGTAAAGTCTTTAAAAATGAAGTTCTACAAATTTGGTTCCCATTTACAACAGTTTTCATTAACAGATAATGAATTAAGTGTAGGCACAATGTATCCATTACCCTTATAACTACAATAAAAAAAATCTCTAGTAGCATGTATATAGATCGTGATATCTTTAGGAATACCAATATACAGTCAAAATATGTTCATACAGAACCAATACCTCTCCTTCTCAATGTAAAAGAACACTTTTTAAAAATAATTAACAAAAATACCAATTAAACAATGGAACCTCATTTCATTTCACTGTGCCCAAAAGTATGACACAAAATATTGGCTTAAAGAGGTAGATTAAAAAGAATAAGGAAACCAGATTCTCCATTCTTTGTCACTTTTATTCAGTAGTAGTATTTTTTTTTCCTTATTTTCAGTGCCAGACACGGCAAGGAGTGATTACAGCCAACTGTTATTAAAACATTTGTTCGCAACATGTCCCCCCTTTACCACTGACCCCAAACTGACTCGTCTGTGTGCTTTCGTTCTTTCCTTTTGATACCACCACCAAGACTGGGTGGAGGGGCAAGGGGAAGAGAGATGAAGGGGGAGAGTCCAGGAGGCCAGAGAGGAGGAATGCTACAAGCCACAGTAAGAATGAGCTGTATTTAATTTAAAAAAGGGGAGGAGGGGTGTACCCCACAAATGATACGGTAATGAGGATACACAATTAAATCCCATAAGCATGACTGAAGGCTTTCACTGTGTTTGACGTCATCACAATGGAAGGCATAAAAAGTGGAGTAAATCAATGTTGACACAGTCCAATCTAGTCCATTAGGCAAGATGGTGCAAGAAGTCATTTAAATTAAAAGTGCCCTACCCTTACCTAAATGGCTAGCAGACATGGAGAACACCACAGGGAGGGATCCACAGAGCTTTCTCCATGTAGCTATGGAAAATGTGTTGTCGAATGGCACATTGTCAAACACTGGAAAAGGGGCGCCACAATGGACCTCTCTCTTTTTTAAGTACGAATGCTAGATTCAACTATCTCAACTAAGCAGGAAGTGGGTTCTTCTGCTAGGAAGGCCAACCCTAATTCACTTTGTCTTGAAATATATACAGATTGTTTGTAGTAGCTACAGCAATGATATTTTCCTTGGGGTGCCAGGCTGTGTGAAGTATTTTCTTGTTGAAGTCTAGGCTGTCAACACTGATTTCATCTTTCTTTCGCTTGCCACTTGCACACACTTTGCGTGGCTTCAGAACCGTGCGAGGTTTATTGTTTTCTCGTGATGCTTCCAGGGTTATGTCTCGCTTTGTGTTCCGGTCAAACATTCTGAAGAAATTATTGTAAGATCCAGTCATGACAACACTGGAAAAGGAGACAGAGCATCCAGTCAAATAAGGAACATGAGTTTTTGGTGAACATTTTGCTGGTGAAATTCTGCCTAATGCTCCAAAGCAAGAGCTACTGCAAGCAGATCTGGGTTTAGGGAGAGGGCTGCTGGCACCAACCCAGAGACCAATCACTGGAATAAACTAGGAATATGGTATTAGTTAACTTGATGTCTATTCATGACTCCTTTCATGACTGCCCAAACTGTCACCAAAGTTGAAAGCATCCTCAAGTAAGGCCTATAGGTAGTAGTGAATGGTCTTAGTTGAAAACATTTACAACCCCAGTCTATGCAGTCCTCCAGACCAGCCAAACAACAACAAAACACAAAACTGTGGTATGCACTTCTAAAAAAACAATGCTTTATTCTGATTTACATTATAAGCTACTGATGTTCCCAGGACATGTCAGGTTCAGACAATAGCTTCTTATGAATGCTTTTAAGAAATCTGCTTCAAAGAATATAAAACAAGTAGCATATATAATTTTTATGAATTAAATCACTTAACCTAAGCACTAAGTATATTGTAAGCAAGTATTTTTGACAGATATTTTTATAATTTGTGTAGTTTAGACTGGCATCTCCATGTTACCTGCATCTGTGAGGTCTTAATGGATTTTAATGGATTCTGACACCTAGTCTATAGCTATTTAAAAGGTGTTGCTAGCCAGCATTTCTATGGGATTTTTGCCAAAAATGTATAACCTGAATCTAATCACAAGGGAGTATGAGACAACACTCAAATGAAGGAAAATTCTATACAATGAATGGCCTGTGGTTCTAAAACAAGCTGAGATCATGAAAGACAAGAATGGAGAACTGTTCCCGATTAAAGGAGACAATGAGATGGGACAAAGAGCACAACTGAGGGAACGTGTGCTATTTACAGGGGTCTGAGCGACTTCACTTTCACTTCTCACTTTTCTGCACTGGAGAAGGAAATGGCAACCCACTCCAGTGTTCTTGCCTGGAGAATCCCAGGGGTGGGGTCGCAGAGTCGGACACAACTGAAGTGACTTAGCAGCAGCAGTGGGTTAGACAGCAGTACTGCACCCATGTGAATTCTTCTGCCTTAGATGCCCGCACAGTCATTTTATGGGAAGCATCTTGCCAAAAAAAGTTTCCACGTCAGGGGAGTAAACAGCTTTTCCTGTGACAGAAGATGTTTAAGCGCAAGAAGAATGAGCTGGTGCAGCCACGCACTGTATCCTACTCCAGCAGCGCCTTCTCTCTTGTCTCCCTGACGCCTCAGGGAGAGCAGTGGTGTTCAAAGGCGAAGCCTGCTCGGTCCTCCTCCAGGTTTACTGTGGTCAGCCTACTATGTGGCCTCATATAATAACCAGACAAAAATAATTTAAAAAATCAGACAACAGATAAATGACTCAAGTTCTGTTATCTTCAACAGCACCATGAAACCTGAATCATATCAGGCTTCAGTGATAAAACTATTGTTGAATAATGTGCTCTAATGAATACCTTGAAGGTAGGTTTAGTAATTCCAGAATTATGTTTTCTTTTACTATTGTCTGTTCTCCTGGAACATAATGAATGGTAAATAAATACATGGAACAACAGACTGGTTCCAAATCAGGAAAGGAGTATGTCAAGGCTGTATATTGTCACCCCGCTTATTTAACTTATATGCAGAGTACATCACGTGAAATGCCAGGCTGGATGAAACTCGAGGTGGAATCAAGACTGCCTGGAGAAATATCAATAACCTCAGATGTGCAGATGACACCACCCTAATGGCAAAAAGTGAAGAACTAAAGAGCCTCTTGATGAAAGTGAAAGAGGAGTGAAAAAGTTGGCTTAAAACTCAACATTCAGAAAACTAAGATCATGGCATCTGGTCCCATCACTTCATGGCAAATAGGTAAACAATGGAAAGAGTGACAGACTTTATATTTTTGGACTCCAAAAGCACCACGATGGTGACTGTAGCCATGAAATTAAAAGAGGCTTGGGCTTGCTCCTTGGAAAAAGCTATGACCAACTAGACAGCATATTATAAAGCAGAGACATTACTTTGCTAACAAAGGTCCGTTTAGTCAAATGCTATTGTTTTTCCAGTAGTCACATATGGATGTGAGAGTTGGAAAGCTGAGTGCCAAAGAATTGATACTTTGGTGTTGGAGAAGACTCTTGAGAGTCCCTTGGACAACAAAGAGATCAAATCAGTCCATCCTAAAGGAAATCAGTCCTGAATACTCATTGGAAGGACTGATGCTGAAGCTGAAGCTCTAATACTCTGGCCACCTGACGCGAAGAACAGACTCACTGGAAAAGACCCTGATGCTGGGAAAGTCTGAAGGCGGGAGGAGAAGGGGATGACAGAGGATTAGATGGTTGGATGGCACCACCAACTCAATGGACATGAGTTTGAGTAAGTTCTGGGGGTTAAGTGATGGACAGGGAAGACTGGTATGCTGCAGTCCATGGGGTCACAAAGAGTCGGACATGACTGAGTGACTGAACTGAACTGAATAAATACTGACAACCAAAACTGAAAAGATTAACATTTTGATGACACAGTAAAAGGAACTGTACTATGGCAAAGCTGTGGATTATAACAAGCCTCATCACTCATGGTAATATGGTTAAAATAATACCTAGAAATTACCTCTTCTCTGCTATGAGGTATTGATGTAGTATCCAGAAAAACTAGTGTGTAAAACTCCAAATGAAGTATCTCCACCTAAATATTTCTAAAACCAATTTAACAGCAAAGTAACAAACACACTGAAATTTCACCATTTTAACTACTGGTATATTAAAAAGGTGATTGATCTGGTCCATTAAAGGGAAAAATTAAAATTTATATATTAACATTAATTATATCTAGAAGTTTCTGGTGTATTTTCACATTTACTTAGTGAAACACAATGTTTAATTTTTATCTCCCAATACTGCTGTAAGATTTCAAGGGAACTGTGGGGGAAATAAGAGTTGGGAAATGTAATTTATGTCAATCAAAAAACACATTGGCCATTAGTAAATGTGGCAATCATACTAGGAGTGAAATAGATTTCTTTCCTCTAATAGAATTCACATTTGAATAAGATGTTCAGTTCAAATTAAAATCAATTTACCTGTCAGATCCATTCCAACAACATTCAAATTTGTCAAATATGCAGTCATTTTCATACAGTGAACAAAGTTTACTTCTGAGGTATTCATGCACCTGGGGGGGAAAAAAATTATTATACACACACACAAACACACACACATGTGTGTACTTAGCTTACATCACATGATCTACTGCTCCTGAAACTGGAACATGATTTAACAAGTCTGTATCTTTTTAAGGAATATATAAACACATGGATTGAGTGAAAGTCACTCAGTCGTGTCCAACTCTTTGTGACCCTATGGATTATACCCACCAGGGTCCTCCGTCCATGAAATTCTTCAGATCATATACATACTTTAATCTCATTAAAACTCAATTCTCAAAACAAAAACTCAATTCTCTGAGAAATAGTAAAGGTACTGAGCTCCCCGTTCCACCAATACACATTTTTCTTTCATACAACTGAGAAATATACCCTCCTGGGGATGGCACATCTACTCTTCATAAGTTTGACTAAAACAGTAGGCCAGAAAATATTTTAAATGGCACAGATAAGACACTGATTAAAGAATATATAGCAATATTTGAATTTTCCAACACTTGATCTGTCTGTTGTTGATTAAAAAACATACAATACTGTGGCTTTACTTCCTTTTTAATTACCATTTTGGGGTATAACTAACTGAAGCCTACAGTATCATTAAGTGCATATGTTATGCACTGCATGATCCTGCCCTGATCCAGTGATAAATTATATGGTTACTTCACATATGAATCATGGAAATATTTGACACACTTGTTATTACTTACACACAGGATGTGCTCAGTCACTCAATCATGTCCAACTTTCTGTGACCCTGGGACTGTAGCCCACCAGGCTCCTCTGTCTATGGAATTCTCCAGGTAAGAATACTGGAGTGGATTGCCATTTCCTCCTCCAGGGGATCTTCCCAATCTAAGGACTGAATCTGCATCTCCTGTGGATCCTATTTTGGCAGGTGGATTCTTTACACTGAGCCACCCGGGAAGCCCGTTTCTTATATAGTATCCAAAGCTAATGAAAATGGCTGTTTTTTTAAGTTCAATTCTATATTCACTAGTTTTTCACAAAGGGGTCAACTAGAAAATAAATTGAAAAAGTATTCTTAGAAATGATACATTTCTGTATTAATATTACTAAATTACAAAGCAAAGTTCCAAAGTATTTGTTGTGATCATAAGGGAAAAAAAGGAGTCTCTAGCTCACTGTTCTTATTCATTTAAATGAGAACCTTAAAATGAAGTAATGACAGAAAAGAACAAGTACTTTCTCCAAAGCTTAGAATTCTCTAATCTTTATGAAACAACCTAACATCATTTTAAGTATCTGTTTTATCTTTAAGTATAATGGAATGATTCAGACCACTCTGTGTGACATTTTAGGTGAAAATCTGTTAACACAGAGCATTTACAACCTTTGTGGGTTAGGACCCACAATGAGTACGTGAGGCAAATAGTAATGTTAACATTACCCTTCAATCACATAACCGGTAAGCTAGATTCTTATACAAACTCAGTGGGAGTTGAACCTGCACCTGCTACACTGAGTATGATGTGACTACTCCAATCACTAAGCCAGGTCAGCACAGGTTAAAAGAAACTGCACCCTGTCCCCGCTGTGCACATCTTCATTCGCTTCTCCAGAATAAAGGGACCCACGGGAGCAGCTTGGCTGACGAGGAGAATCCAGAACTGACATTCTACGACAGACAGGCAGCTCCCAAAGCTGTCTGCTGGGTGCTCACAAGCCCCTCTCCTTCAGCTTAAGACAACAGTTACCAGCCAGTTCACCTGACTGGGCGACATGCCAGGGTTAACCTCTCATTCAGCTAGCACTGTCCACACTCTATCTGGGAGCTTCTAGTAGGCCTGGCTATTCTCCCCACAGTTCTCCCCAGACCTCCGTAGACACCTTAATTCCATCCTCACTTCAAATGTAGATAACAGTAGAAAAAAAAGTTATTATTGAAACAAACTGGTAGCTTTAAATTTTAACTGTAAAACTACATAGAAAACACAGTCTATAAAAGTAGGTATAAATTTAACATAAGGAAAAGCAGTGTATTCACGGATCTCTGAAGGAAAAAGCCCAATGGTGAATACACACTTTGTACTGGGATTAACACATATAGGCTATATACTCATTGAAAGAAAGAATTCCAAATACCTGGTATGTTTCCACAGGCCTGTTTTCCATATTTAAGTCCCAAATTTTGACTGACAAATAGTCTCTAGTCATCATATATCGACCACTATGGCTGAATTTTACATCAGAAATTGAAGAGATGATTTCAGAAAAAAAAGACCTGTTACTGGGATCTTCAGGTTCTTCAAACACTAAAAACAAGCACAAAAGGTTGGGACCATCTGTAATTACTCTGGCCTGGACAAAGCATTTGCACAAAACATCATTCACAAACTTCCCAGCAGTGAGCTAAAAATGACAGGCTAGTAAAGAACTGGAAAACGTCTCTAAGAACATCTGTAAGACTGTAACCTCCCTGATAAGAGTTTCTTAGGAGAATGAGGATGACCCAATACTGAAGCTGAAGAGGCAGAAGCACATTATGTAGCACAGTGCATCCCAGAGTCACCCGGCTAATCCACCAGAACCAGACTCGGCTGCCACATCTGGCATGTGTCAGGTCTGTGGTCCTAAATACACCTCACTGACTTTGCCTGTACCGTCACCACGAGAAACAGACCACCTTTGCCATTCCCATGCCTACCCACAGTTTTGAGTGGTCAGGTAAAATTAGTTTGATAAGTATGTTAACAGTCTTCATAAGTTTTTAAAAAATTCAACATGGAGGTAAGAATAATGCAACCCCTGAATTTCTTAACCTTGTACTTTTCAAACTTAAATGAGTAGAAGAAACCTCTTCTCAGGAAAAACTCTTCCTAGGAAGCCCAAAACAGGAAGGAAGGGGGTGGGGAGAAGAGAGAAGGGAGGCAGGGAAGAGAGGAAATGTTCTACTTGCAGACAGGACTGGGGAACCCAACCCAAGTTCCCAAAGAACAGCACTCTATTAAAGTACATCCACTGGTACTCAACAGATGTACCCCACAGACAGTCTTCTATGTTCTTCCAGTAGAACCTGTAAGGTCTTGGGCTGAGTCAGGCAGCTTACCAAAAAGTACAGGAGGTTAAGACTCATGTGCTGTGCTTAGCCGCTCAGTCCTGTCTGACTGGGCAACACCATGGACTGCAGCCCGCCAGGCTCCTCCACCATGGGACTCTCCAGGCAGGAATACTGAAGTGGGTGGCTATGCCCTGCTCCAGGAGATCTCCCCAACCCACTGACTGAACCCAGATCTCCTGCATTGCAGGTGGATTCTTGGCGTACTGTTTGAGTCACCAAGGAAACCTACGTAAGTGCAGTTACCACGTCTGAAGACAAACAGAATGTTACCGTTTGAAAACAAACTCACGTTTAGAATGCCTATCACAGAGGGCGGACGCCCTCATGTCACATAACCGGATCGTCCCTTTACTGCTGCTGTAGACAAATGTGTTACAGCTGTTGGGGTGGAATTCTGCAGCTGTGATCACCTCTGTCAGCTCCTCCATATTGGCAGGCTTGATATCCACAATATCTGGAGAGCATTTTATTAAGGAATTTCCACTTAATAGGAAAGAAAGGTCAAATATAATTTCATATTTCTCAAATCTACAGCTCATTCACAGATACACGTATTAATCCTATTTTAGAATGTAGAGGGTTTTTTTTCCTGAGTATGATATAAATCCCAGAAGACATAAACAAAGACTGATAGGCCATCATCCTAAATATTAAGAACTTACCATATTTCCAAACAAAACAAAAGGAAAAATCTGGAAGGCAGCACAATGGGGAAGCTGCACACAAACAATGGAGCTGATTTACTTGATATTAAGAAGGTGCTTAAAAAAAAAAAAACTCCAGTAAGAATACATGCAAATCCAATGAAAATTTTGGAAAAGAACAAAAAGAAATGGTTGAAAAAAATAATAAAAGTCTACTAAGGACGAAAGAAGCAAATGAAAACAAGAGGCCCTTTCACTAACTAGACCACTAAAGGTACAGGAAAACAGGCTCTTCTTATGCATTACAGGCAGACCTTGTTGCTTTGCTTTGCTTTACTGGGCTTCACCTATCAGTTCACTGTACTTCACCTATGATTTACTGCATTTTTTATAAATTGATGTTTTGTAGGAACTGTGCATCAAGCTAGCCTATCAAACACCATTTTCCTAACATCATCAGCTCAAACCTTTACATTATTATTACATTTGTTTCAGTGATCTGTGATCAGCTCAGCTATCTTTGATGTTACTACTATAATTGTTTTGGGGTGACATGAACTACACACATAAGGTGGTGAATTTAGTCAACTGCTGAAAGGACAACCAAGGGCTTAGAACATTACATAAACTTAGTTGATAAAGCAGTGGCAGGGTTTGAGAGGGCTGACTCCAGTTTTGAAAGAAGTTCCACTGTGGGTGAAATGCTGTCAAACAGTACTGCAGACTACAAAGAAATCATTTATGACAGGAACAGTCAAAATTGATGTGGCAAACTTCACTGTTGCCTTATTTCAAAGAAAACTGCTACAGCTACCCTAACCTTCAACAATCACACTCTCATCAGTCAGCAACCTTCAACGAGGCAAGATCCTCCAGCAGCATAAAGATTACCGCTCGCTGAAGGTGCAGGTGATGATCAGCACTTTTCAGCAATATTTTTTTTTCATTTATTTTTATTAGTTGGAGGCTAATTACTTTACATCATTGCAGTGGGTTTTGTCATACATTGAAATGAATTAGCCATGGATCAGCAATATTTTTAAACTAAAGATGCTCAACATCACTCATTATCAGAGAAATGCAAATCAAAACCACAATGAGGTACCATTACACGCCAGTCAGGATGGCTGCTATCCAAAAGTCTACAAGCAATAAATGCTGGAGAGGGTGTGGAGAAAAGGGAACCCTCTTACACTGTTGGTGGGAATGCAAACTAGTACAGCCACTATGGAAAACAGTGTGGACATTTCTTAAAAAGCTGGAAATAGAGCTGCCATATGACCCAGCAATCCCACTTCTGGGCATACACACCGAGGAAACCAGATCTGAAAGAGACACGTGCACCCCAATGTTCATCGCAGCACTGTTTATAATAGCCAGGACATGGAAGCAACCTAGATGCCCATCAGCAGACAAATGGATGAGGAAGCTGTGGTACATATACACCATGGAATATTACTCAGCCATTAAAAAGAATTCATTTGAATCAGTTCTAATGAGATGGATGAAACTGGAGCCCATTATACAGAGCGAAGTAAGCCAGAAAGATAAAGACCATTACAGTATACTAACACATATATATGGAATTTAGAAAGATGGTAACGATAACCCTATGTGCAAAACAGAAAAAGAGACTCAGATGTATAGAACAGACTTGTGGACTCTGGGAGAAGGCGAGGGTGGGATGTTTCAAGAGAACAGCATCGAAACATGTGTATTATCTAGGGTGAAACAGATCACCAGCCCAGGTTGGGTGCATGAGACAAGTGCTCGGGCCTGGTGCACTGGGAAGACCCAGAGGGATCGGGTGGAGAGGGAGGTGGGAGGGGGGACCGGGATGGGGAATACATGTAAATCCATGGCTAATTCATTTCAATGTATGACAAAAACCACTGCAATGATGTAAAGTAATTAGCCTCCAACTAATAAAAATAAATGGAAAAAAATAAATAAATAAATAAACTAAGGTATACACATTTTTTTTTTTAAGACATAATGTAACTACATACTTTAACAGACTACAATATAGCGCTAACATTTATATGCACTGGGAAACCAAATAATTCGTGTGACTTAATTTTAGGGCAGTATTCACTTTATTCTTGTGGTCTGCAACTGAATCTGTCATATCTCTGAGGTATGCTTGCACTGGTAGAGTGTGAACTATAGTACAGTGTTAATTTTTCAAATGATATCTATTTGGAAAGATATACATTAATAGCAGTCATGATAATGACCATTTATCAAGAACTTAAGTACTTAAAAACAAACATGTATATACATTTCTATATATATGTGTGTGTGTGTGTGTGTATCTCGTAATCACAGAAAATTTTTAGGAGGATAACATAAACAATGAGAAGTATTTAGACCATCATGACTTGTACGAATCCTTTTCCAACCTTAATGAGATACTTTTATAATTAAAAACACTTTAAAGGTAATACTCCACATATTTGTTTCTGTTACAAGAAACAGCTATTAAAATTTTTTTTTCTATTTTCATAGGTACAAAGAGAAAAATTCGTTATAATTCCAAGAATCCAATTTTTAAATTGATACATTATGCCTTTTATCAAATAATTTCACCCAGTGTTAAATAACTTATACACAAAAAAAGTGCTATAAAATAATAAGCTACTATATAAGAATCAAAACACACTAAGGAGAGAATGAAGGTAAGTCCAGTATGAGGATAACATGCCTTCTTTACCTAACACCAAAAAAGGAAACCAAACGGATACTAAAACTCCTGTCTGTTATTTCCAGATGCCAAAGATTAATCCGCAAATCATCTGCAGATAAATACGTTTCATAATCACTATTAATAGAAATTGAGTTGATGTGATATGTATGAGCATTGGCAAATATTCTTCGTGGACTGGCCTCAACCATTAGATCCATGGGCCGAAAGACTGGCACCTGTCAACAAGACATGAAAAAGAAGCGATTACAAAACACTCACTTTCTACAAGAGGACTGTAGGCTCAGGAGACTTCATTACTCCAGGTTCTGAGGTAACATTAAACAGCATAATGCTACACAGACTTAGCTTTATAAAGCAACTGATATTGATTGCTTGAAGTGTTGACATGGGAAGAAAAATGAAAAACAAATCTGCCTCCCTTTATAGATAGCAATACTATCAAAATTTGTAGTTTTTCCTAGTTTCAGTCTTTTGTTTGAAAGACTTGCAAAGCTAATAAACGTTTATGATTTGCAAAACAGAAAAAGAGACACAGATGTACAGAACAGACTTTTGGACTCTGTGGGAGAAGGCAAGGGTGGGATGTTTCGAGAGAACAGCATCGAAACATGTATATTATCTATGGTGAAACAGATCACCAGCCCAGGTTGGATGCATGAGACAAGTGCTCGGGCCTGGTGCACTGGGAAGACCCAGAGGGACTGGGTAGAGAGGGAGGTGGGAGGGGGGATCGGGATGGGGAATACATGTAAATCCATGGCTGATTCATGTCAATGTATGACAAAAAACACTACAATATTGTAAAGTAATTAGCCTCCAACTAATAAAAATAAATGAAAATAAATAAATAAATAAAGTGGCTAAAAAGGAAATCAGCCCAAAGCATCAAATTCTTGGTATTTCTCATTGCAACTAGAAGATTTAGTCCATTTTTACTTTTTTGATCTCCAAAAAAGTTAATCTTGAAACTTAACCTTCTAATAGCTGATAACCAAACCATAAGAACAAGAGAGTGTGATGGCATAGTAAAAAACAAAACAAATCAAAACACAGTCTTGTGTTGAGTCCTGGTTCAGCCCCTGGCCACAGTGAGACTCATCTGTAGGTCAGGATCTGTTTAAAATTTGAGTCTTTAATGTTCTCTCTGGTTACAGAATCTTGGGAAGCAGCAGAGTGTAATTATTCCTATTCATGTTCTGTTGAGGATCTAGACTATATAATAACAGTACAGAAGACTATTCAATGGAATCAGAATTTTTTTTTAACATGTACTTACACGTAGTGTAGTGACTGTAGTAGGATCTCTATACCTTCCATCTTCCTCCTTCAAGTTATACCCTTCCGGTCTTTTGTCCCTTTCACTGATTTTCCATAACTTTATTGTTTTATCTGGGGAAAAAATAAAGAAAGTCTTAAAAAATGACAGATTAAGCTTCACAGAAGAAAAACATTTTAATATATATTTAAACATGTGATTTCATATCTGACCCAAAAGGATCCCAAGAATAAAATCCCTGACCTGACTTAATAATATTAACACAAACTTTCTACTACCAGGTGAATAAAAGCATCTGTATATATAAAACTAGCACAGAAATAAAAAATCTATGTTAATGGCACTCATTAAATACCATTTAATATTAAAGTCAGGTCACAGCCAGGTCCCTATCCTTCAAAAACTATCATAGCTAGAGGGGGCGGGGGAAACTCGTGTGTGTGTGTCCGTCCATCCCCTGGAGGAGGGCATGGCAAGTATTCTTGCCTGCAGAATCCCATGGACAGAGCAGCGGGCGGGCCACAGTCCATGGGGTCGCAGAGCTGGACACAACTAAGGGACTAAGCACATGCTTAGTCATATGTCTATACATGCATAATGCTTAATATTAAACTTTTACACAAAAAAGCAAAGTCGGTTAAAATGGCCTAAGTGTCAGCCACTCTGTCCTGTCTAGCTCTTTGCCACCCCATGGACTGTACAGCCCACCAGGTTCAGTTCTTCCTAGTTCACGGAATTCTCCGGGCAAGAACACTGGAATGGGTATCCATTCCTTTTTCCAGGCTATCTTTCCGACACAGGGATGGAACCTGGGTCTTCTGCACCGCAGGCAAATCCTCTACCATATGAGCCAGTAGGGACTATTTAGAATAAAAATGGTAAGGTTATCTATCTCCCTTGGTCCCACACTTCCTAGCAGATGCCCTCAAAAACTCCACAAACTTCTTAACAGGTCTGGATGGATCTGTTTAAAATCTTTCTTTTCCTGTTATATTTGTGATTCAATTCAAGTAAGTACAAGGGCCTGAAAGCATACGTCCCCAAGTCCTTCAAGACAAAATTATTCAGGATCGAGAATATATAAAACAGTGTTTTTTACAAAAAGCTTTGCCTCCGAAGTAAGTCTAGAGTTAGAGAAAAGTTGCAAAGAGCACTGAGTGTTTCCATATACTCTTCACCCAGCTTTTTCCTAATGTCAGCATACAAATAAATTTGTTAAAACTAAGAAATTACCATTCCACGTTACCCTATTCGCCAGACTTCAGACTTTACTCTGATTTCATCAGGTTTTCCACCAACGCCTCCTTTCTGTTCCAGGATTCAAACAACACCGTATGTAGCTGTCAAGTCACCTTAGTTTCTCTGCAACAATTTCTCAGACTTTCTTATTTTTCTTCTTCCTGACAGTTCTGAGAAGCACTGGCAAAGTGTGTGGAATGTCCGTCCACTGGGCATGTCTGTTGTTCCCTCATGATCTGATTGGGATCATGGGGTATCAGAAGAGCTGAGAGTGAAGTAAATGTATGCACAGTACTGACATGACTTCCACTGGTGATCACTTGGTTAGGAAAGAAACTGCCAGGTTCCTCCACTGCACAGTTAGTGTCTCCCCCTTGGAAATGAGGCACTAAATCTATCCATGTCTGATGGGACCAGTTACAGTCCGGGCAAGCAGGAGTGTCCATCCACATGTTATTTGGAATTCTCTGTAACAAGCATCCTTTCTCCCCACTTATTTATTTACTCAACAGCATCCTTTCTCCCCACTTATTTACTTACTCAATCAGCCATCTACATCAAGATGGAATCAAGCACATTTATTTAACTCTGTGTGCCCAAGAGGCCCAGTGTAAAGAATCCACTTGCCAACACAGGAGATGCAGGCTCAACCCCTAGGTCAGGAAGATCCCCTTGAGTAGGAAATGGCAACCCACTCCAGTATTCTTACCTGGAGAATCCCATGGACAGAGGAGGCTGGTAGGCTACAGCCCATGGGGCTGCAAAGAGTCAGACACAACTGAGCATGCATGCCCATTATAAGCTTAAAACTGCACTTACAAAATGCCACATCTTAATGGCCCTTCATAAACAAATGGGTATACCAGAATATGAAAAGCAGTGTATAGAGTACTTTGTAATGCCCCATCATATAGAGACATGGCAGGACCTCCTCCAGCCTGGCCACCCCTCTGCCCAGTGGAGAAGAGTACGCGTAGCACCACTGTGGGTGCCCCCGGCAGAGATGACATGTACACAGAGAACAACTGCCAGTTTACTGGCTTGTAGCTAACTATTTCATCTGAAGCCTATGTAACTGGGGTTTTCAGTTATACTGCAGTTAAGTTATATGTGTTTTCTATGTGCCATTTGGTTTACATATATTTATATAAATTAGGTAAAGAATGACAAATTTTAAGAGTATTTAACCTGTCCCCAAATCTATCATATAAATGAGCCATGCCTGAATTCTACATTTTGGGAGAAATTATTATCTAAAGATTATAAGGATGAACCCCGTCCAACACCACCACACATACGTTCCCATGATTTCTTATGGCCTGCTCAAATTCGTGATCCTTATTAAAGATCCAGATAAAGAAATCACAATAAACTTATCAAACATTTCAAATAAGATGTAATTAGTTTGTGGTTCCTAGTAATGTTACAGAAAAAAAAAAAAAGATAGAAAAAGAAAAAAAAAACTGGGTAAACAGATTTTTGAAACAAATTAAACTTCAGAACAAAAATTTTAAGGTAATAAAATCTGTGACTTAGACAGTGCTAAAAACTTTTAATGGCATAAACAAAAGACCAAGAAGTACTACACAGTATCAGTGCAGTGCTTGTGAATAGGCAGGTTGGGAATTTAAAAAAAAAAAAAAAAAAAATCAAAATTTTTATGCTCTACAGTATTTTTAAAAACTTTTTTTTTTTTTTGGCTATGCTGCTGGGCTTGCAGGTTTGTTGTTTTCTTTTTATAAAGATTTATTTATGGCTACACTGGGCCTTCCTTACTGTGAGCAGGCTTTCTCTACTCGTAGCAAGCGCTTGCGGGGGTGGGGGGAGAGGCCTACTCTCTAGTTGTGATGTGCAGGCTTCTCACTATTTGTGATGTGCAGGCTTCTCACTGTGCTGGTCTCTTGTGGAGCACGGGCTCTAGGGTGCTTTAGTAGTTGCAGCCCACAGGCTCTAGAGCAGAAGCTCAGTAGCTGTGGCACAAGGGCTCAGTTATCCCACAGCATGTGGGATCTTCCTGGACCAGGGAGCGAACTCGTGTCTCCTGCACTGGCAGGCAGATTCTTTACCACCGAGCCACCAGAGAACTCCAGCGTTTACTTTTACCAGGAATTTGGGGCCTGTAGTTGGAGGGATATGAGAATAATCAAACTCCAAAAACCTGCACACAAGAGTATGTACATATACTCATTTTCTGTGAAGAGGGTTATTAGATTCCTCAGAGAGAATTTTACAGTCAAAAAATTAAGAACCACTGCTCTACCGTGTTTCCTGACACTGTGAATACTGATATCTAAAGTGTTTCAGAAGCTCAGAGTCCCAGTATTCCCCTCACCACAGAGGGTTAGAACAGGGAAAACAAATGCTACCAAGTTTCCTTTGTAGATGTGTGGCTTTTACATACAATCCAAAAAGCTTCTTATTAATAAGCTGTTAAGACAACCTATTCACAAGTGAACTTTTATTAGTCATATATTCAAAGATCCATGGTCAACAGATTTTAGAGCTGGATGTTTTTGCAACAAAGAGAAACTGAAGAGAATTCCGAGAAAGGCAAAGGAGGTTAAAGAGAAAGAGAATTAAGTCACTTGAAGAAACATTAAATGAATAAAGTTATAAGAAGATGGCTATGAAATTATTTAAGTAAAAACAATCTGGGAAATACTTGCATAGTGATGATCACAAAAAGCCAATGCAAAGATGAAGATTAATTCTGATTACTCAAAGTTGAACGTTTGCTCCTATTTTCCATCAGTCTCCCCAGTAGTTTTCTAACCTTTCTTTGAGTATAAAGACCCATTACACTATGAAGAGAGAACATGTAAATCCATGGCTAATTCATTTCAATGTATGACAAAAACCACTGCAATGATGTAAAGTAATTAGCCTCCAACTAATAAAAATAAATGGGAAAAAAAAAATCAGATAATGAAAATAAATAAATAAATCAGATTTAAAAAAAACACTATGAAGAGAGAAAGTACAGATATTATGCTGTCAGAGAAAACTACACCAGATAATATAGAGATACTGCTCAGATTTAACAGAAGTTAACATTTTTCCATATTTGCCTTCTCTTTTCAAAGAATAAAGCTTTTCAGCTCAAGTACTCTCATCCCTTTTCCTATTCTCAGCACTCCCAGATACTGTGGTATGTAAAATTTTCATACTTGTTACATTCTTCCACATTGGACTCTACTTTTAGCACAAAAAATAATACAGCTATCATCCCAAAAGCTGTGTTTTACTTAGCATTCATTAACAACAACAAAAAACCCCAAACATGTGCAATGCATTGTGTACTGCCCTTAAAAATAAGCTGTATTACTAATCAATGATTTTTCAAATTTACATACTCCTATTTGGGGAACACTGTTTATTCTGTCCACACAAAAACAGTACTTAGACTCACATGACCCCTGACCCAGTCCCTGGAACTTCCCGTGGTCTTTCCTCCCACTGAGCTCTTGCCGAGTTCAGTGTCTAGAAAGGCTGGGCTGATTATATGATGCCTTATTTATTTCAAATCACAGAGGAAACCTGCATGGATGACATGCAGAGATATAAATGAGAACTGAGAGATGAAATGGGGTTTGCTTTCAAATAAGACTGAAAAGGCAGGGTAAGAAGTACCAGCGAAACACAGCTGGGGATGAACTAAGAACTGCTGAACCTGGGTGTTTGGTATATGGGACTTCATTATGCTACTTCGGCTTGTATTTTAAAAATCCCCCTCTATAAAAAAATAAAACAATTTAGCCTGTAAGAAGTGAACTGCCAAAATTACTACAAGCAAACACACTTCCTGAGACATTTACTTCCAAAGCAGAAACTGCCTAAATTGTGTAACACATACTGCATGCGCGCTTAGTCGCTTCAGTTGTGTCCAACTCTCTGCGACCCTATGGACCATAGTCTACCAGGCTCCTCTGTCCATGGGATTCTCCAGGCAAGAACAGTGGAGTCGGTTGCCATTTCCTTCTCTACAATAATACATATTATTTGATGTCAGAGCAGTACCTGAAGTGCTATTTGAAAAAACTTAGTTAACTGTACAAATCAAAACTGAACCAAGATTAGAAACCAACGTACAACGTGAGTAAACAGACAGCCTCCATTTACAGTGCTGTAAACTACAAGCTTAAATCATTATCTCTATGTATTTTTCTTTTAATAAGAGAGGAAAATGCAGTTCATGTTATCAGCCAGTGGTATCATTGTGTGGAATGCACTTCCAAGAATTTGACACAGTGGGTGAGAAGGCCTAAGGTGGATGAAGCCAGCACTTCATGTTTTCTACTGGGTCAACCAAAGTCACCTGAGTTTGTATTCTGCAAGTGCTGAAGAATGGTGAGTTCTAGATGCTAGTATCTGATTTTACTAATACCAAGAGGATGTAAAAGTGGAAGTCTCCCCCAACCCGTGTTCCAGCATCAAGAAGCTTTTAATTTAAATTTTTACAGACCAGCTACCCAAACACCTGGAAATACTCAACCATGCTAATGACTCTCTCTTACGACCCAAATCCGCAAGGATAAGCCAAGTCACAGCTCAGGTAAAAATAAGAAGAACAAAAAGAAATGACCCACTTCTTAACCAGTCATAAAGGACTTTAAATTCTGATAGAGACATTATATAATTCTAACCTTCATTTAATAACTCTTCCTACAGAAACAAGACAGTATGGCAATGAGGCAACTCCAGTTTGTGTCCTTCTTGAACGAGGACCAAGTAAGACGAGTGCTCTCCTAGGGAGTGTCCTGGAGTGGGGACCATCCTTTGACAGTGTTTTGCATTTACAGTATGAAATACTCTTTGGAGAGTCAGGCACACTTAAAAAGGAAGAGGGAAGGAAATGAACACATACTGAGCACTCACTGTGTACACCAGGAGTAACCGTGTGTACCCACCTCAACCAGGTGATAACGCAAACCCACCACCCAGAGTGTGCAGACGAGGAGACCTGAGCAGGGTCAGCAACCTGCCCAAGGCTCCTACGCCAAGGAGCAGGAACAGGATCTGACCCAAAGCAAATGTAAATCTCATTCTTTTTACTAAAACAGTGTGTGTACTAAAGACAAGGACACCTGAGGAGCTCTTTCTGAGAATTTAAAAACTGAAAGAAAATAAAAAAGGAAAGACAAAAAAAGAACAGTTCACATTCTATATGGGGAAGAAATATTTCCAGATATCTATCTCCAGAGCCCTCTTAACAACTACTCCTCTTTGAACAGGGGAAAGGAACCCACAGGACACGTGCACACAGCGGGTTTATGAAAAGAAGCAATGTACACTCACCGTTGGTAGACAATAAAAACTGAGCAGCATTTTTCTGGGGCAACCACCTAATTTTGTTGATCTTTTCTTCTATTTCTAAACTTTTCAAGTAGTCAAACTCTGGTTCATGGCTCTGAAAGGTGCTGTAAACATTATATTCTCCTCTGCTATGAGACTGGATTTTGTTCTAAAATGGAAACAAAAATATTTGGACCGGTTGAGAAATATTTCAAATTAATCAAACATTTAACCAGTTCTAACAGACCTCGTATCATCTTATAGACAATTCTATTGTTTTTTGTATTTAAAGCTTCCAAGGAATAAATACAAATGCTTGAAAGAAAAAAAGGAAAAGCTAGATAAATCCTTTACTTAATTAGGCCAAATTTATTAGGAAAAATAATATTAAAATATGGATCCTTTTGACTGCTACTTTACCATTATGTATCACATACTTAATAGAGGACTACTGAGCATACATAACAAGTTTCATCCAAAAAGTAAAGACTAAGAAAAACTCATCAGAAACAGCAAGAAAGAAGGATGAGGCACACCTTCTCTCTCTGCCTTTCTCATGCCTGCCTTTAGGTCATTTCACTGCTGGAAAGCTCTTGAAGAGAAGAGCCCTCATTAAGTGCAACGGCACATTTGACTCCAACCTCCCCCACTCGAGACCACATTTACAGGGCTGTATTACTCACTGAAACCATATCCAACTCTACTCAGCAACAAACGCTAAACCTCCTTAAATTATCTTTCTTAATTAAGAGCCTAGCACACACCAATGATTTATTTCATTTAGTATCAGTGCGAATGAATATAATTTAAGCTATTGGATAGAGACTACTTGTGAACTTCTTCAGTTAACACTAATACCTTAGCAAAAATGAAAATTGTAACCATTTCTAGAGTTTCACTTATTAATCCATCATCACACAATCAAAAACCTTTCCACCAAAAACATTAAATGTCTAGTTCAAAGAACCAATGTAAAAATAGTTTAAAAGAAAGGCAGTATTTATAATCAACTATTTTAAGTAAATATGAATTAACAAATGAAATGTTTAAGATGAAGTGATACTAAGAATGGCCTGTTGGTCATTATTATTACTCTCCTTATAAAAAGAAAATCTTACTGAATCATTATCTCATAAGCATAGGTTTTAGGTTGTTTTTTCCAGTAGCTTGATTATCTGGATTGATCATTCATGGTCACAGTTCTATTTGGATTATTATTGAGTGCATTTACCAATACTGAGAATGCAGAACATATCACAGAACATAATGCACACTGGGGATATGGAAAGGGTAAAATTCAAACTGAGAATCTTGGTCTCATTATAATACTCTTACACCAAATCTAATAACCCAGCCCATTTAATAGCTATATGCCAATATCTCTTTAGAAGAAATTCCATATATCTTCCACTGAAAATTACTCAGCCTCAAAAAATTTGTCATATTATTCTCCAAGAAAGTTACAATAAACAGCAATTCAATTTTTAATACGAATGCTATTTTTAATGTAAGCAAAAGACTACAGTACTATGTACACTGGGTCTCAGAGATATACAGAGATTTAATAACACAGAATCTCTGTCTTCAGGTAACTTGTGTATATGAAACTTTAGTGAAAAGTAGAAACTAAAGTCCATATAATTCAGGTAGGCCTGAATTCAGACAAAAATGGAATTGCTGGGCCAGGATGGTCTTTTCACTAAATAGTTTTCAGTTAATTGGTTATTCATATATTCAATATAATAAAACAAACCCTGACCCATACTACACCCACCTTAAGCCACTCATATAAACTGATTCCAGGTCAATCAGGAATATAACTGTAAATGCTTCTAGTACAACACCATCCAAGAGAGCTTTCTGCAACAATGGAAACAGTCCTTATCTGCCCTGTCCAATATGGTAGCCACCAGTCATATGTGGTTGTTGAGCACCAGAAATGTAGCCACTGTGACTAAGGAAGTGAAGTTTACATTTAACTAATTAACTTCTAAATAGCCACATGGAGCTAGTAACTACCATACTGGAAAGCACAGATCTAAACAATGACGGGAATATATTATCTTCCTGGACCTTGGGGTAGAGAAGTATTTCTTTTACAGGAAAGAAAACGCAGTAAGTCTAGAGAAAAACATAGATAAACTGAATTATATTAATAACCTCTACTTACGAGAATATCATTCAGAAAAATAAGACAGTAAGTCACAGAACTGCAGATACTTCCAACAAATACAACTGACAAAGGGTTAATATTCAAAAGGTGCTAAGCCTACACATCAGTGAGAAAAACAACAGACAATCCAGTAGAAAAAAGTGCAAGAAATTTTAGTAGGTACTTCACAAAAGATGATATCCAATGGCCAACAAACCCATAAAAAGACACTGAACCTCAGTATTAATTAAGAAAGTACAAATTAAAACTATAACAAGACACCCTCATAATCTCCAAATGTTTAAATTATAAAATTGCAAAGCATTGGCAAAGACGTGGAAGAGCCAGAATTTTTATACATTGTTCATGAGAATAAAATGGGCAGAACCACTTTTTACTGTTGTTGTTCGGCTGCTCAGTCACGTTCGACTCTTTGCGACCCCATGACTGCAGCACACCAGGCTTCCCTTATTACTATGTTGTCTTTTTTTTATTTTTTACTATGTTATCTTAACAACTTTTTATTCTTTATAGCTGAAAACTGAACCAACCAAAACATCCGCATCTGTAACATAATGGATAGTCTGTGGTACAGAAATACAGAAGACCACAATATAGCAATGAAAGTCAGCAAATTATTACAGCAACAAAAACTGAGCGAAAAGGCCAGACACATAATATTTAGTGTAGATTCCAAACAGTTCTAAAACTACAGGCCAAATTAATGTTAAAAAACTTATGAGGAGCAAAGAGAAAGGAGTTGCTTGGAAGGGGAATGAGGAGGGTTGATGGAAGTTGGGAAGTTCTAGCTCCTGACTGAGATATCTGCTTCGTGATAATCCACTAGTGTTTTGTGCATTTTGTGCATTTTCGTGATAATCCACTAGTGTATATTTCAACACAGTTAAAAAAGAAAAAAGCATACAAATTGTGTAGCCACTTTGAAAACAGTATGGGGGTTTCTCAAAAATATAAGTAAGAGGGACTTCCCTGGCATCACAGAGGTTAAGACTATGTTTCCACTGTAAGGGCCATGGGTTCAATCCCTGGTTGGGAACTAAGATCCCATATGCCACATCGAGGGAAAAAAGAAAAACTACTACTGGATGATCCAGCAATCTGGGTATAAATCCAAAAGAAGTGAAAAAGGAACCTCAAAAGACATCATTCAGAATAGCTAAGAGGCAGAATAACCTAAACGTCCACTGACGGAAAAATGAATAAAGAAAATGTGGTGGGTGGGTATGTGCACACGCATGTGTATACACATATAAATTATTCAGCCTTAAAAAAAAAAGGAACTCCTGTCATAGGCTACAACATGGATGGACCTTAAGGACATTATGCTGAATAAAATAAAGCTGATCATTAATGATAAGTACTGCACAATTCCACTTATATATATGGATTGTCTAAAGCAGTCAACCTCAGAGAAACAGGAGGCAGAACGGCGACAGGGACTGGAGGGAGGTCGATGGCGAGAAGCCGCTGGTCAGTGGGCACAGAGTCCCAGTTATGCTGGGGGTCTGCTGCACGGTCGTGTGCATGTGGTTGGCAAAACTGTGCTGTACGCATGGAAACTGCTGGAAGTCCAATGTTATACTCTGCCACAGATAAACACAGCTCAGTACACAAAAACAAAATGAAAATTACAAGAACACATTCAAACAGTTATCTGTGAAGTGACAGGTGAATGCCAGCACATCATGCAAGTAGAAGTTAATGTGTGCACTACCGCACACCTATGTGCATGTTTACTTAAATAAAGGGCCTGACTATGATCTCTAGTGGTAGTGTCATGAATTCAAGTATGCCCCTGAGATTCAACGAAACCAAAATAGAAAACAGCAGTAAAATCCAATGGTGTTAGAGCCAAACAAACATTTGGGACGAGAATTAGAACTTCATTTCTTACACAAAACTAAATTTAAGAAGGAAGAATCAAATGTTTAAAAAGTAAATAAAAGAAGCTAAGAGAAAGTACAATAGTGAATTTCTATATAATTCTCAAGTGAAAAGAAGCTTCTAAGTATAAAAGTGAAAGCAAAGAGCAAAGAAAGGTTGACTTTTGACAAGGTAAGAAAAAAAATATTTAAAAGTTTAAAAAAAGCATACTAGGGAGAAAAGTGCATCATAAGACAAGATTACTACCTTTCATGTGTAAAAAATGTTACTATCTTTTCAAGTCCTTAAAAATAATTAGTAAAAATATTAACACTCTCCCCCTTGAGACATGAAAAGGCCAACAGTTGGTAGCTTACCTAAAAAATGGTCAGCAAATACATAACTATTCATTGTTAGCATGCAAAATTAAAGAATAATGTTTTGCCTTTAAACAGATGAAGAATTTTAAAAATGATAATGATCACTGCTTTAATGATGAGAATATGGACAAAAATTATACACTACAGGAAGAAGTATAAATTTACACAGCTTCTCTGGGGAATAATCTGTCAATACTTATTGAAAGCCTTAAAAGATGTACTCAACAATTCCACTTTGAAGTATAACCGAATGAAAAACAATGTACGCAAAGCCGTGTTAACACAGGGGTCATGGGTGCCAAGTCTCTGCACAGTGGGAAGTCCAGGCATAACCTGTACTTGGTCCTCTAAATTGTGGATCCAACCACCCATGGAGATGTGTAGGTTACAGTTAATACAGGTGATCCCTGAACAGTGCAGGACTGCTCTCACATGAGTGTTTTTAATAGTGAATACAACTGTACTATGTATCAGGGGACGTAGAGGGTGACCATAAATTATACAGGGATTAACTCCATGTTGTTCAAAGGGTTAACTGTAATGCTTTAAAATGTTATAAAATCTAAAAAGGTTAAAGTGCTATGATTCAGACTATATAACTACCCAGAATAATTTAGTTCTAAACCATCACACAGAATAAGAGCAAGGCACAGAGCAACTTTAATTACTGGGAATATTAAGAGGTAGACTGAAACTAGAAATCTAGAGAACAGACAGCTGAACAAGAGAGGTGCTTGGACAAGTTAATGGATA